TGAACTGCATCAGTGACAATTACTTCTATAAGGAAAAGGAACAAGTTTACCAGTATAGTCAAGTAACTACAATTTTTTTTAAGTCTGGTAACCTTTACAGGAAAGCAACATTTGCAAACATATCTGTCAATACTAGAGCCCTTTTGTTTCCAATGCAGTCTAGCTGTTACATATTCAAAATAACGGTTTAAAATGTTCCTGTCAGCAAAGGCTAATTATGAAATGTGACAGAATGTCATACCACACGGAAACATTGGCAAAATATTTACATAAATTACTCATTAATCATATAATAGGCAGAAAAATTACAGACAGGTAAATATATTGTATGGAAACAAAAGGGTTAACACGGAGAAACATGGGGAAAGTAAGAGAATATTGGACTTTGCAGAGTACACTAGCACTCGTTCACCCTATAAGGTCCATCCTCGAATCGCAAACCTAACGTAGCTCAAATCTAGCCTAAACGAAAAATTCCTCGTTGGCTCGTTACGAAAAACCGTATGATTTTGGCCACAGCAAGTACTCTCAGAGATACGCGCAATGCACAGCCAAGATCGTCCTTACATAGTTGCACATCCTTATGCACATTATACACATTATATACTATATGATCTAGGTCCGTGCGCGCAGAGACAAAGGAATGCTTCCTCCCTCCGTCCTCCGGCGTCCTTCCACCTACCGATCCACCTCGGTACCCCGTCCGAAGGGGGTACAAGGAGCTACGAAGGACGGCGCGAGGCAAGGCAAGGGAGACACGGTAGAAGAAGAAGGGTATGGGAGGAGAAGAGGCACGCGGGAAGAAAGAAGAATAAGAGGAGCGAACCAGAGGAGGAATAGGCCATTCCACTTATACGCTGCTCGGATTCAATTAACTCTCCACCTTCTTCCCTCCTTCTTCTTCTCATCGCGCGGTCCGGCGTGCCTCTGCGCCCTGCCTTATACAGGGTGTTCCTCTGCACGCGCACGTATCACCGTGACCCTTGTCAAAAATGTTCATTGCACAACTTGGGCACACCTTTGTTTCGTCCAAGTGTTCCGGTGACATCCTTGACGAAACTTGTGTCTTCGGCTGGACGAGGAGGATCTGGTGAATGTTTCACGAAGGGATGCAGGAATTTTCTGGAAAGTGGATAACATGGAATGTTAGTGTTTCAAAGTTTGAAGAAGATACGGATTATTTTAGTATTTATGGTAGGTTTTGATCGTTCTTACGTGGTTTGTTTGATCTTTGATAACAATAGTGTAAATTTGTTTCCTTGTATTTTAGTTTCTAAGCCATTTGAAAGTGTGATTTCGTTTCATACAGTGTTCCTATAGCTGCATCCTAAAAGATATGGTATTATTTGTGTATTTTCTCATTATAGTTAGTAACTACTATATTCTTACAATTAGGACTTCCCATATGATTGAAGCAATACTTCTGAATTTTTTAAGATTCATACAAGAGTTTAATAATGTATGTCTAATTTATTTTTTAATCTTCTACGGATGGTATACGTTACTGAACACTATTTGCCTACATAATAATGCTATTGATAAAAATAATTTTAACCAACAATCTTTCCTGACAAAGGTTTAACGGAAACTCGAGTAGACCGATCGCCAGTCGACAAGAGCAAGGATCAAGACTCGGGATACGGTAGTGCGACGTCAGCAGTCGGAGAAATGGATATTCCCGCCAGTGAATTGGTGTTGAATTTCTGAGCGCCGTTTAGCTGGACGTTATCCTTTCGCGTAATCAAGCGCGTGCATGTCGTTGCCGATACCGATGCGCACGCTGACCGATTATCGTGTTATAAAGCACGGCGTTCAGACGCCTAGTTTGACTTACGATGGCAATAATAATAATGAGCTGCTTTATTGCCACTATATAACATCCAACCGTCATGACGACAAGCCGTTGTCATTGCTTCTGTCATTGCGTGGTGAGCAACCGTGCGTGAGATAAGGGGACTATTATTTGAAATGGCTCGGCTACCTGTTGCGATACAGCCGCGTACTAAGCGACTAATTAACGTATTAACAACCTAACATATCTTTGCGAATCCTTCGATACATAATTGAATTTTATGAATACGTTTCGTAAATGTTACTTCAATCATTTCAATATAATGTTTAACCCAGTGGATTATGTATAAAAGTAGCTTATCACTTATCATCGATTATCTCTGCTCTTAAGGAAATTCATCATTTGTTTTTGGTCTAAACAAACTCGACCAATCTATTGAAACAAGACTTGTAAAATTATTTTCCACTTTTCCTGTTTAATTGTACATCTTCTTTTCTGCAAAAATGGAGAATGAAAAGGTGCATATAGGTTTGTTGAAAATTGGAAAGGGAAAGTAATAAGGTATATGTAGATTTACATGGAGACCTTTTCAGCGACTCATTGCTGAAAAGAATCCTGTGGGAAAGTTATACCGGGAGACAGGCGAGCTTCGATCATTCGCGATGATCCAAAACCTCGTGGGCTTAACATCATCCTCTCCTCGTGTGTTCGTTTGGCTTGAAATCACTTGTCCCGCGCTTCGTGAAGATTCACCCTAAGGGCCGATTCACAGAGCCTCCGTAACATCTTGTTAGAGACTCTTCACTGAAATCCTGTATAATATACAAATCCATTTAGATCTATTCATCGAAATATTTCAATCCTTCGCCTTACAAAGAAACTCGATATGTACAGCTTGCAATATTTCAAATAAATTATTTCATATGTTTTGACACGTTGTGACACGTTTGACATAACCTCAATCCATCGATCGAATTCGTTCTTGTAAGCAAAATGAACGAGGTCTTTATCGCAATCACCTTTTATTGATTCTGCAACAGGGAATCACGTTACGTCGACCGACCTGGTGCATTGACTCTGCTTTATCGGAGAAGAATAACGCAGTAGTCGATCCCGATCGAATAAACAGAATGCGACACATAAGAGGGCGCAGCTATCGCTCGTTGCTACTAATATATCAAATGTACCCATAAATGTTCGCGGGGTACGAAACACTGAATAATGCTGTATCCAATTTCCTTTACAGGGCGTTTCGGTTAATGGAACGATAAATTCTCCGGACGAATACTTGAAATTCTATTACCTTCGACTTCCTTGTCAGTCTTCGATACGAACGCCCCCCCCCTTGGGAAGTACACAGTCGTGCATTCGGCTTCTCCGCTGAGCGGATCAAGCTTTGGTACGTCGCCAGACTACCAGGTGTCTCTATGAAATCATAAATTCGACGATTGTCGGCGGCAGCCGAGGCAGAAGTCTCTGTGGCGGTCTTGTCGCGCTTGTCGGGAGATGAGAACGGTGCCTTAAGGCTCGCAACCTCTCCTCGAGACGAGATCTCTCTCCTCTCTCTCTCTTTGGTTTCCCACGAGAACCACCGCCGCCGCCGCCTTCTGGAATGTCGCTCTCCCCTTCTCCTTCTGTTCTGCTCCTCCACCGTCTCCTCCTCCTCCACCTCCTCCGATACGACCGCCACCTCCTCCTCTTACCTTGCTCCACCGTTCCACCAAGAGCCACGGTGTCCTCTCTCCTTCTATCGTGTCGCTACAACCCCGGCTATTCCATTCTCTCCCTTTCTCTCTCTCCCTCACTCCCTCTCGTTTTTCCTTTCTTCCTCTCTTTTTCACTCTCCCTCGTTCTCCCTTGATCCCCTCTTGAGATTTAACGGGGTGCATCGTGGTACACGCTATATCTGCCGATGCGACTCGTGATTAGGAGTGCATATGGGAAAAGAAGAACCTGCGAAGTTAAGGGGCCGTGTTTAAAATATTGGCGCGTTGATCGTGGTCTAAGCATTGTAGTCGCTCTCTTCCTTTACTTCTTTTTATCCGTTGATCCTCCGACGAAGCCTGGGAATTGCTAAAACAAACTATCGTTGCGATACTCGTTTGAGTTTGAAACTTAGTTTATTTTCCCTACTTTTCCTTTTTTCTTTCTGGCGATAAAGATACGAAGAAATTCTTCAAAATGTGGATCTTCTCTTCTTGGAGTGGGTATATCCTGAGTTGGTTTCTAGATGTAACGCTGTATGGATCTTACTGTATTTGCAATGTTCAATGAGCTGGAACGTGGAAACATGATTATGATTATGGGTGTAATATAAATTTGTCTTATAAAAGAAACACAAAGTTTGTCAAATTATCAGTGTCAAAATTAAAAGGATCGTTACAGTATTTTATGAAATAAAAATAATAATGATATGCTACCATAATCATAATGAATATGTATTTTAAAAGGAATTGTATATAGATCAATTGTACTGATAAGAATTTGATAAGAAGGCTTAAGAAAAGGGAAAAGGTTATAATTGAACCGATAGATCCTAATGTACGGCTTCAGTAAATGTCACGGTCGATGTTAGATTTCATTTATCCCTTCATTCCTCTCCGCCGCGCCAGATTTATTGATCCATAAACAAGAAACTACGCGCGAATCGCGGGAGAGTTAAACGTTGAGTAAGATACGCACAATGGTTTACGACCATGAATTCTTTATAGCTCGCTGATTATATAACTTTACGTGACAAAGACCTTTGGTCGTTTGCGACATTATTTTGTTACTATTATTCATCTATAAACGTTGCTCGATTTGTTGTCGTATATTTATTGCACGTTGCAACATTGGTATTCATGCAGCAGGTTTGAAGCACGTGGATCCACTGATCAATGATTCTTGAATTCTTAATAATTTTACTCTGCAAATTATACATAAAAGTTACATACAAGTGAGCATCATAATCAGCTATAATAATATAAAAGAATTTAAACACTATCATAATTATTTAACATTTAATAATTCTTAACAATTAATAAAAGTACTAAGAGTGATATAAAATACGTTTAACATTTTTATGAAATCACATATTATTTAGAAGTGTAAGAAAAGCTTATTAATGAATATTTTATATCTTTTATCCAACTTTTTAAACGAATATCTGTTAATAAATCGATGAAGAAAAAAATGTGATGAGAAAAAATTTTACCAGTACTTAATAGCGTGGTTGAAAAGGATTCAGAATTAAACGCCATCTACAATATCCTTTAACGAAGAACAGTGTAACCACTTAACCTGTTTTTTGGCTTCAATAGAGGGTCCCGGGTTCTCTTCACTCCTGAAAGTGTTAAATTTGTATTTAATTAATTCCCAGTAAATTGGTACCATGAACAATGTTTCATTTTACGCACCGTTGGCTTACCGTTCTGGCAGGATGTTTTGCGTGATACCGGTCTGCCAACCTTCTCGTTCTGCTTTGTAATTTCATCGTGTTGCTTCCATTCAGATCGAATCGATGTCGATGGAAATAATCGACCATCCATGGTGGATTATACTTCAAGCAACAATATCAACAATTAGATCTAATCGCTATTTACACCTAAAATTGAAAAATATTGTTTCAAACTACACTGCATAATCACCGTCGTGTGTCAATTTTCTTTCTCGAATTGGCACGAAATGTTTCTTATTATACGTTTCACTAATAATAATGGTGGTTTACACTTTGCTACTCATGTTGTATCATGCACTCGTAATAAGATGGTCGCTCGTTCGTGATTGCACGAAGGTGTATGTCGATTACGTACACAACGGGTGACACGTTCGAAATTCGCGCCAAAAAGAAATTCGCGCGTTTTTCTAAAGCGGTTATGAAAAGTATACATCGATATATTTTGTTAAAACAATTAACAAATTATAAATTTATATGGACTTTCTCTCGTTTTCAAAACGTTTATTAATTTCTTTTAATTTCTTTTATAGTTTCAGATGTTAAGAATATAGAACAATTAAAATCATTTTTCAGAACTTGTGAACTTTCTTGTATATCATTCTTTATTGTCATATTGAAAAACCTTTTCTTTAATTTTTAAAGCAGTTAAAAAATTTCGTATTAAAATTTATGTTTCATTTGTACTTTTCTTTGATTTCCAATCGATACATTATACATTTCGTAACAACGTTCACACATCGATAACGGCCATTAGCAATCTATGCTTTGTAATCGATAGGCCTACAAATCTTTTCTACAGAGAGAGTATTTCGAATTATACCACAGAAAAAAATGATGTACCGTTTACCTTAAAGTGTGTCACCCGATGTGCGGTGTGTTGTTGTTCAAGTCAGCCCAGACGTAACACGAGATTGACCATACGAGGCGACCACTTATGATGCCCGATATACAGCATGTTCACCCACACCGATCAGAAGGCACTAACACATCATCTACGTTGCCACAGCTATCACAGCTTATCAAATTTAAAGTTAACGAGAGCGAGAAAACAGGTAGGCGAATGCCTGTTTCTTTTCGTCAACTCCTTTTTCTCCACTTCGTCCTTTGACACTATAGTAACTAGACGAATGACTAATACTTAACGAACAGTGATGTGACAGATCGATTATTTTAACGGCAATCGATTACTGTCAACAGTCGACGAAAATGTTCTTACTATTGTTCAGAGTAAATAATATTAATTTTGTACACATTCTTACCTTTCTAGCTTCTATTTCTTACACCTTATACTTTTAATGTGACATTTTCTTTTCTGTTCTTATTTTGTTATATGTGTTGCATCTCATCATTCTAAAATCAATGGTTATGAGAGGTATTACTAATAATGAATTTTTGATCCATAGATAAAAATGAATGAGAACTACTGAACTACTGACAATGTTTTACCATATGAGCATGATATTAAAGGAATCTGTAAATTTTAGGAAAAATTTCTTATTGATAACGTAGAATGCATATTACCATTATATGGTAAGTGCTCTTTTATATCGATTGTTGAAATCCATCTGAAAACAAAATTAATAAGTCACGATTATATATGAGAAAATATTTTTTTCTTTCAAACGTAAATCAATTTATGTTTTCCAGAAATAAATATTAAAAGCAGTATATTTCAATTTTTTATTTGGTAATGATATACCTACATATAATTACAAAGAATGCTGTTATTGATTCACCTAATCAGTATGACGGTTTAAAAAGGTGGTATATATGTCAAATTTACAAAACTTAAATACGATAATTTTTTTTTCTTTTTTTCTTAAACAGGTGTACAGTATAACAGTACCTCTTTCGATGATTAATAATTAAGTTACAAAAGTCGCGCGAATATTCTAACATGGAGGGAAGATTCGAGTGGAAATTGTACTATTCTATGACTTCCTCTTTGTTTTCTTCGGAGTTTTCGTAGTTTTTACATGTTTCGTGTTTTCCACAGACGAGCTTTTCTTCCTTGTCGATTTATCCGCAATCTTTGCATATTTGTCGATCAGAGAGTCGAAGAACTTGTCGGACTGACTTGCCCTGGCTTCGTTGCGACTCTGAATCGCTAACGCCAAATTGTTCGCAGCTGCGTTTTCCTCGTTTTCAATCTTCAGCATCTTATCTAGACGTTCTGCTTCCTCTGCTTCTTTGGCCCACTATAAATAAAAACAAACGTCATTAATTTCTTCTCCCACATACGATACATATTATTATAAAAAAATAGTCTCACTTTAAGAATAAAATAATTATTTTCTAAATAGTTTCAATATTCCATTGTAAAATAATGTAGCAACAATAAGAAGAGTGTATATAAATCAAACAATCAGGTTTCTTGTTCAACCATGTCTTTATTACAAGATTTGTACTTGTATTGCGTCGTAATATACAATTTAGATATTCATAAACAGTCTATTTGATACCACTACGATAGTATATCAATACACTATAATAGCAAAGTAAAAAATAAATTAAACAAGAATTAAAATATATATACGTAAGTATTAACCTTTCAAGTTATATGACGCTTCAGAGGGTTAATTAAAAAAGTAGAAGGGATAAGATGGAAATAACTTATCTACCGATTTTTCTTATGCAAGGCCGGAGATTGGCATTAGCGCTATCTATCGGTTGTATCACGAAACTCTATTTGTAGCTTTCATAAGGGTCTCTCCAGACACCCGTAGTAAAAATTCTCTTTTACAAGCAGATCAGCAGTAAAAGATAAGACACTTCAGAACAAAAAATCCATCGGTATCATCCAGATCGACCTAACAATTAGTAGCTCTGTGCACCTTGCTCCTGTCAAGCTTCACCTATGTTAAGAAGCACGCTTAACGATCAGCCACAGATACGATCGAGAGAGATCGATAAATCAGAAGTTCTACAGCCTAGCTCCAGCGCGCTTATTAACGTACTTAATTACATCCACTTCACGACACGCGTAACCCTATTTTCGAAGCCTAGCCATACGCCTATCCTCGAGATTATCGGACTCGGTTTGCTTTGCGAGCAGAAGTTAATTTTAACGAGGGGTCATCAAAAATGGAAGATAATAAAGCTTCCAGATCCGGCGACGACCGGAGGAACAAGCTCGTTTATATTTTCTTGCGAAAATTTACCAACGTAGTATGCACCAGTGAAAAATGTTAAGTATATTGGTAGCTTTTGTTTGAAACGAATTATTTGTTCAGTATAGTCAGAGTCAAAGATTAAAAATAAAAGTTGATGGCGCCTGAAAAGATAAAAGTTTACATAGTTATATTAGGCATAGAGGTTATGAGGTAAAATGAGATCAGAGATAAAATTGTGAGGACATTTTGCAAAATAGATCACAGAAACCAGACTACTCATGGCTCGATATACAAATTTCCTAGGACTGAATTTATGCAGGACGTAAGAACAATTAAAGACCTAGCTGATTTTTGCATATTGTGTAACAAAGGTAGTTCAAAAAATTTTATCTGAAATGATTGACATCTATAGGGCTACTGATAATTTCTATCCAATATCTAGTAATTAAACTGCAGATTTTTTCATACATTTTGTTTCCCTAC